GTGAAGAATACTCACATGCTGGGCAACTTTGGCCTCTTTAAATGAGCTCCTGACTTTTCCAGTGTGAAATGTGGTTAATAACCACCATTGCTGCTGAAACTAGTTTGGCTCAGTGGATAGAGTGTCAGCCTGCGGACTGGAATGTCCCAGGTTGGATTGTGGTCGATGGTATGTACCTTGGTTGCGGGCACATCCCCAATAGGGGGTGTGCAAGAGGCAGCTGATTGATGTTTCTCTCTCATCAATGTTTCTAGCTCTCTATCTCTATTCTCTTCTTCTCTGTGAAAAATCAATAAAATATATATATTTAAAAATAACCACCATTGCTAAATGGTTGTCAGAAAAATTAAGAGGCCCTTATATGTAAAGTCATTGAAAATACTAAGAATTTTTATATTTAGACAAGCCATAAGCCTCCTCCATCACACCTGGTGGGAGCTTTTCCAGGATATAGATAGGTCAGGGATGACTTGTTTAGAAAGAGGCATTTCCTGGAAGCTGGGATGAGTATCCTTTTTCCATTCTACTTTTGGACATCTGGACACACCACAAAGACATCTTACCTGACTCCTGAGCCTTCCAGAAAATCCTGAGGAAAGTCATACAAAAAGCCATCATTCTCAATATAATGATCTTGAAATTGGAAAAGGCCCTGTGACCTTTTGAAGGCCTTCTGAAAATGATAGTTGAAATCCATTGCCACCTCTGCTCCCAGTCAAGGGGAAAATCTTAGTAATTAGGCAAAGCAATTTGGAGACTTAGTAATTAGAGAGGCAAGTGGCACTTACATCAATGAATATAGCAGCACTCTCATCAGTGAATAAAACTAAGGGCAGGAATAGGTAAATGCTCTTAGCAAATAAGTTTGTAAGTTAATACGGCCATCCTGTATGGTAATAAATAATATGGATTTATTAAGTAGACCACATGAGGTTTTCATAAATAATTCTTCTGGTGATAAGATGTGCTTGATTTTAGGCACTTTAAGAAAGAATCAGCTACATTCAGGAGTATAAGACCCCACTATTTATTTCCTCACTCTCTACTGTAGTACCTTCAGAAGGTCATCAGGGAACACTAAGACCAGGTGCAGTCCTCTTGCTCTGCAGGAGGTGATTGAGATTCAAGTCTGATAGCTGGAGAAGATATCTGCTGAGAACTGAGGCTTTTGAGTTTGGTGGAGTGAGATGGTAAGAAAGATTAAATGAGGAGAGCCAAGAAATACAGAAAGGGTAAAAGATTACTGAAGGAGATGGTTTAATTATCTCTTTCTCTAAATCCTGGTGGAGGGGGATATCCCCAAGGTTTAGACACACAGGGCTTACACCCTAAAACCTTTAAGTAAATAAGTACTTTATTAGGGTCAGTATTTAGCTGCTCTCAAGAAGGGCAGGTGAGGCTGTGCCAGAACAGATAGACCCACTATGGTGTCTCTTATATGCAGCATAAGATACCACTTGGGAGTGTGTGGGCAGCAAGGAGTGTATATATGTAATACCATAATGAAAGAAACAATATGGTCACTATACTAGCTTTGGATAATGAATCTACCTTTGAGGAGATGGACTCAGAAGCATTAGGGAAGAACTGGGGGAAGGGGACTCCTAACTGATATGGTATCTTGTTGGGTCCATAAAACAACTTTTGCGATTTCATGAGTGCCAGACAGGTACTGAACTCACAGCTACAAGGAAAAGGAGAAAGGTCAGGAATAGGCTTTGAAGTCTGGTCCAAGAGCCAGATAACCTGAAGGATAGTCGCATTGGTAAAGGCACTTGAAGTGCCCTGTTACAGGATCATATTTTATTCTTGTGACCAACTCTTCCAGAAAGAACATGAAAGCTCACAACCCATGGATTGCTTGGCAATGGTACAGCAGGGATGCAGACTGAGAATAAGCTCGGGTAAACTACCCCCTATGAGGTAAATTCCCCTTATTTTGCTATTGGAAAACAAGCACACATACATACACACAAAAATGGCATGAGAGCTATGCCTGAGGTGTCTTTTTACTTCTTTTATTGAACTCCATAAATATTTTCATAAGGCTTTGTGTCATTACAACATCATAGTTTTGTTGTTAAACATTTTTTTTAAAACACACAATTTTGACATTTGTTTGACAGGGTCAAATAGTCAATTAGGAGAAACAAAATAAACTGGCAAATGCAGAGCAGCAGGGGTAATCAAAATCACTGTTGCCCATCCAACCACCCCGGCCCACCCCATCCCCAAAGCACTAAAATATCACTATTTGGCTTTACACTAGAACTGTTAGAACTCTCTTGTTGCTGTTCTTATAAATCCATTAGAGATATACACAATAGAGAGAATGGAGGAGAGGGAGAGAGAAAGAGGAGTTGAGTTTCTGTGTGCGGACAGTCCCACAGCAGGGCCCATAGAAGACGATAGCAAAGCCTTTTGAAGAGCAAATCCAGGCCTCATGGAGTTGAGGAAAAGGGAGCTCAGGGCCATGCAGAAACAATGATTTACAGAGTTCTTATGGATAGCACTGCTGTGAGGACAGAAAATAGGACTGGACCATGAGCCCAGATAATGGCCCATTGGGGTTGCTGGCCACTGGTTTGATTTGCTGCCAAGGCTGGGGGAACACTACAACCAAGGGGAAACTGATTTATTGATGTCTCCACAAGTCATTGGCATCTGGTGAAGCCAGTGGGTGGGGTGGATGAGAGATAGATGAATGGGAGGTGGGTGGTGAGAGGCAAATCCCTGATCCTGGAGCTCTGGGTACAGATCTTGGGGAGCACAAGGACAAGGGGGTTTGGCCAAGAAATATTGTAGGCCCAGGGATTTATCTAAGCATACCCTCTTGGTGAGCTCCAGGACCCTAGAGAAACATGTCAGTGCCAAGTGTAGTGAGGAGGAATGGCAACTAGGAAAGAATGTATGTTCAAGGAAGCCCTACCCAGCCATTGAAACACATTCTGCTTGCCAGAGAGGTCTTTTTCTCTTATGCGTTAGGTACCAGGTTCCTTGCCAAGGGGATTTAAGTAGCTAGGTCATGTACTGAGGAGTGGTGGCCAGTCCCAAGCCCTGGCCTCTGCCCAGCTCAAGCTTATCATTGGCCATTCCACAAGTCTTACTTGGGAGTAGATAAAACAACTTGTAGTTTGATTCCCACAGAATAAAAATTCCCAGGCTGGGTAGGGCCTGGTCTGGGTCAGGAGGCATAGAGCAACAATCAAGCCAGCTACACTGAGGGCCCCATGCAGCCATGGTTGCTGCTTAGTAAGCTGAGGTCCTTTCATGACGCAGTCTTCTCCCTAGGGGTTCTGAACAGACTCATAATCTCCAGATTCCTCACTAGAGTGGTTCTCCATAGCAAGGCCAATCCTTACTTCTTTTTACTCTATTATTCTTGCTTTTCAATGTCTATCCACGCAAGGGGCCATGTGGTGAGGAGAAGCAAGTACTCCTGTACCCACAGGGAACTCTTTCTGGGAGAAGTTAGTTTTATCACCGTGTAGATCCTGCCCAAAAGTGAGCCTAAGTATGGGATCTCTGTCTCAGATCCTTTTTCCATAGGGAAAAAATCCCCCTGGAATCCTTACTTACTTGCCTCAAATGTCCTGAGATGGGACAATGTTGGAAATGGGGCATTCTTCAAGTGCCAAAGTACTTTAACTACAGCATGCCACCAATTCTCTGGTGCCAATAGAGCAGGAAAAAGAAGGATAGGAAGAGGGGAAGAAAAGAGCTATGGAAGATTGTCCATGCAATCTGCTAATAATGAAGGAAGTCTCAAATAACTTGAATGTTAAGAACTGCAGGTACATATTTTAGGCCAAGGATGTCTATTTCCATACCCATCCATGTTTGTTTTTTCCTGTTAGAGGTTGCTGTTCAGCATTGGTTCTTCTCTAGGTAAATAATTTAAAGGCAGTTGATGATCTTGGCAAGGTTAGGTAGACTCTGTCTTTATCCCTTTATCCTATAAATGCTGCATAAACAATCTTCAAATAGAAACTGGGATGAACATGCCCTGGAACTGGTTGCAGTGGGGAGCCCTTTCTTAAATCTATTTGCTACTGAAGACAATTAAATCCCTTCCATGGGAGGCAGAGTTTTAGCCTGTTTGCTTCTAGTTCAGATCTTTTAGGGTAGAAGAGGGACAAGCTTAGAAGAAAACCATAACCAAAGCATCTTGAAGAACAGAATAATTTGTGAAACTAAATCCCAGTTACAAAACCGTCATGACTCAGCAGTGCTGCAACATGGAAAACCCCAGTACTAGGAGAAGAAATAGCCCAAATGCAGAATGTTCCCTGAACAGAAGTCTTCTCCTATATCATTATACTCTGACATGTCCTTTCTTATGTTTGGTTTTGATCCCTCTACAATACCTAAAACACAGTGAAAACAATAGGGTTATTGAGTAGTTATGTCACAGGGCACAACAGAGTACATCCAGACTCACACAACCTAGAACAGAAGATTCAGGGTAAAGGCTGTTTGGGGCAACTACAGGGCTGCAGAAACATTTGAAGATAGATGGTCAGCTGAAGGAGAGGAGAAAGGGGACCCTCCCTTTATCTAGCAAAAAGTAAAAGTAAAAACAATTCTAAACTTCCAAACGAGAAAATGAACAAATAGAAATGTCACTTTCTGAAAGTAAAGGGAAGGGGATAGAGCAAGAACAAAAAATCTTTTAAGAAGGGATCACATGTTTAGAAGTCATTGGTACCTCTTCCTACCAACTATAGATTTCACTTCCCCCAAAGAACAGGAAATGTTTTCTCTCTCTCTCTCTCTCTCTCTCTCTCTCTCTCTCTCTCTCTCTCTCTCTCTCTGTGTGTGTGTGTGTGTGTGTGTGTGTGTTTGTGTGTGTGTGTGTGTGTACACTCAAGGGTCTCTCTGTGTGTGTATATGTCCATATATATATTTATAAATTTCAACAGTGCTTCTCCGAAAAAAGGTCCATCTATAAATATAATTTTATTTACTTTATTTTAAAATTATCTGCCTCCCTGTAGGTACTATTTTTTGAAGGGGGTTAACCTGCTGAAGTTTTGCCAGAATGGTGACTGGCTGCGCTTGGGTTCGGCGAACTCAAAGACCTGTGACTGAGCGATGCCATCTGGGACCAGGTACTGGCCCTGGTTTAATGGGTCTTGCGGTGGTGGGTAGGAAGGAGGAACTGAGCGGGCAGAGTTGACACCTAGAATAGATGAAAGATCAAAGGGAAAAGGTATAAGTTAAGTAGCAAGGGACTTCTCAAATTACCCACTGACCACTTTGGGCAGACATTTCAAAGCAGTCCATCTTAGAGAATGTAAGCTGGAGCTGAAAATCACCAAGGGAAGATATACATTCCTTCATAAATTTTGGAATGGTGTGGTGATTACTGCAGCAACACATACTTTGCCATTTACACAGTATTACTGAGAAATTTGAGATGTTGCCATCATCCATTTTACAGATGAAGACACTGAGATTTGGAGGGAAATGTCATATCCAAGGTCGCAAAGCAAGGGCTAAAATCCACATCTTTGACTTCGCAGTTCAGAATTCGTTCCAAAAGACCACAATCTATTATGCAGGGATTGGTGCTGCAGATAACCCAATTCTATCCATTTAATATGAAGCAACATTTTCTCCCTCCTCCATTCCCCCTGGAAGTGTCTGGTTAAAAACTAGTGTCTTCACGGGAGGTGTGTAGGGGAAGAAATGTTTTTCTTAAAGCAAGTGATCCAGTATTCTATGCCAGGTTGAGAATAATGCAAATGTATTTAGCAGGGAAGTGACATTGATAATAAAGGGAGAAAGCAAACTCACCACCAGAAAATATGACTCATGAAAGACTTGGAATATATTTATGACATTTCAAATGGAACACTTCAATAGTTTATCAACTTTCATTAGGAGGGATTGCAATCATTAAAGCAAAATCCACTTGAATGGAGAATTCTTAGAACCAGGGGGCCTAAATTTAAAGTTTAATCTTAATCTATATTCAGAACAGAATAGGCTGAGATATATAGCATCTGATTTCAGAATGAAGGAAGACCCATCTGCTGCTTCCACATACCTTCCTCATCTGCGGAAGTGTCTGAAATTTTAACATTATACCTTTTTTTTTTTTTTGGCCTTTGTTTGATTATTTGATCCCATTATCCTGGATGTAGTACTTATCAAGCCACCATCAGCCATTGGCATTTCAGTTGGAAGGAACTGGTTCTAAAAGTCAGTATTTTTGTTTTGTTTTGTTTTGTTTTTGTACTTATATTTATTTTCCAGCTTTGTTGAAATATAATTGACACAGAAGACTGTATAAGTTTAAAGTGTGAAACGTGATATTTGATAGACATATATATTGAGAAATGATTATCACAATAAGGTTAGTTAGCACATCCACTGCCTCACATATATACCTTTTTGTGATAAGAACACTTAAAAACTACTCTATTAGCAACTCTCAAGTATACAACGAGTATTGTTAACTATAGTCACCATAGTGTACATTTTATCCCCAGAACTATGTGTTATAACTGGAAGTTTGTTTCCTTTGAACAACATATCCCCACTTCCCCAAACTCCAGCCCCTGACAACCACCAATTTATTTTCTGTTTCTGTAAGTTTTCATTTTAGAGGTTAAAAATATAAATGAGATCATACAATACTTGTTTTATTTTCTGACTTGTTACACACAGAACAATGCCTTCAAAGTCCATCTATGATTCAATAAAGTAGGGTTTCTTTCTTTTTACTGCTAAATAACATTCCTTTGTGTATATGTGTATGTATTTCCATGCATACAAAGGTACCACATTTATTTTATCTATTCATTCACTGGAGGACACATAGGTTGTTTCTGTGTCTTGGTTATTGTGGATAATGCTGCAATGAACATAAGGAGATGCAGATGTCTCTAAGTTTCTGATTTCATTTTCTTTCCATATATATTCAGAAGTGGGATTGCTGAATCAGGTGACATGTCATATTTAATTTTTTGATGACCTTCTATATTGTTTTCACTGTGCCTCACCAACATACATCCCCATCAAAAGTGAACAAGGGTTCCCTTTTCTCCACAGTTCACCAGCACTTGTATTCCTTGTCTTTTTTTTTTAACAGACATGAGATGATATCTCATTGTGGTTATGATTTGCACTTCTCTGATTGATTAATGATGTTGAGCAAATTTTCTGTATCTGTTTGCCATTTGTATGAATTCTCTGAAAAAAACTATTCAGATATTCTGTCCATTTTTTAATTGGACTACTGGGGTGTTTTTTGTTTGTTTTTGTTTTGCTACTGAGTTATATGAGTTGCCTACGGTATATATTTTTAATATTAATACTTTATCAGATATATGGTTTGCAAACATTTTTTCTTATTCTGTATGTTGCATTGTCATTGGGTTAATTGTTTCCTTTGCTGTGCAAAAGCTTTGTAGTTTAATGTAGTCCCACTTGTTTATTTTTGTTTCTGTTGCTTGTGTTTTTGATATCATATTAAAAAACAAAAACAAAAAAAAACAATCTGTTGCCAATACCAGTGCCATTCAGTATTTTCCCTCTGTTTTCTGTAGGCCCAACATTCTTATTAATGAAAACCTACAGTTTACATTAGGACTGACACTTTGTGTTATATAGTTCTATGACTTCACAAATGCATGATGTCAATTGCGCACCATTCCACTGTTGGTCTTTTATTTTTAGGTAAATAGGTTTCCTTAATGTTGATCATTTTTAAGAATTCTTTCTACATTTTGGATAAAATTCTTTTTACCAGATACGCGCTTTGCAAATATTTATTTCCAGTATCTGTCTTGTGTTTTCATTGTTTTTAAAATAATTTGAATTTATTAGGGTGACATTGGTTCACAAAACCATACAGGTTTCAAGTATACAACTCAACAAAACATCATCTGCGCACTGCATCATGCATCCATTACCCAAAGCAAAGTCTCTTTCCATCTCCATTTATCCCACCTCCTTTGCCCAAAACTACATATCTACCCCACCTTTCCCTCTGCCTATCACCACACTGTTGTCTGTGTCTATGTGTTATATACACATACACACACGTTTCATCTATTCACCCATTGGAGGACACATAGGTACATAGGCTGTTTCCATGTCTTGGTTTTGTGTGTGTGTGTGTGTGTGTGTGTGTGTGTGTGTGTATATATATATATATATATATATATATATATATATATGATGTAGTTTTTTGCTTAATACTTTCACCTTCTTTTACCAAGCACCCCACCCCTCTCTTTTGACAGTGGTCAGTCTATTTCATGTATCTACACCTCTATTTTTATTTTGTCTGTCAGTTTATTTTGTTCATTAGATTCCACATATAAGTGAGATCATATGGTATTTGAATTTTTTGACTGGGTTCATGTAGAATAATACTCTCCAGGTCCATCTATGCTGTCCCAAAAGGTAAGATTTCATTATATATTTATTTATTTATTTATTTACAACTGAGTAGTATTCAACTGTGTAGATGTATCACAGCTTTTTTTATCCATTCATCTGATAGTCACTTTAGCTGTTTGTAAATCTTGGGTATTGTAAATAACATTGAAATGAACATAGGGGTGCACATATTATTTTGCATTAGTGTTTCAAGTTTTTGAGGATATATTCCCAGAAGTAGGATTGCTTGATTAAAAGGCTATTTTATTTTTAAATATTTTAGCGAATCCATAGTGTTTCCAACAGTGGTGGCACTATTCTGCATTCTCAGCAACAGGGCAGGAATGTCCCCTTTCTCCACATCCTCATTATCACTTGTTGCTTTTGATGATAGCCATTCTGACAGTTATGAGGTGATACATCATCATAGTTTTAATTTTTAATTTGCACTTCTCTGATGGTTAGTGACATTGAGCATTTTTTTTCATATGTCTATTGGCCATCTATATATCCTCTTTGGAGAAGTGTCTACTCAGGTTCTTTGCCCACTTTTTATTGAGTTGTCTTCTTGGTGTTGAATTGTATAAGTCCTAATATATTTTTGGAAATTAACACCTTATCAGATGGATCATTCATTCTCCCAATCAATGGGTTCCCTTTCATTTTGTTGATGATTTCTTTTGCTGTGCAAAGGCTTTGCAGTTTGCTAAAGTCCCATTTGTTGTTGTTTTCCTTTATTTCCCTTGCCCAAAGAAATATATTGGCAGAAAACCTGCAATGAGAAATGTCTGAGATTATACTGAATATGTTTTCTTCTAGGATTTTTATAGTTTTGGAACCTTCATTTGCCTTTAACCCATTTTGAGTTTATTCTTGTGTATGGTATAAGTTAGTGGTTTAGTTACATTTCTTGCATATATCTGTCCAATTTTCATAACACCACTTATTGAATGGACTATTTTACCCCATTGTATGTTTTGCCTGCTTTGTGGTCAATATTAATTGACCACAAACTTGTTGGTTTATTACTGTGCTCTCTATTCTGTGCCATTGTTCCATATACTTGTTCTTGTGCCAATACCATTCTGTTTTGATTACTATGGCCTTGTATTACAATTTAATATCAGGTAATGTGATACCTCAAACTTTGTTCCTTTATCAAGATTACTGAGGCTGCTGAAACCGGTTTGGCTCAGTGGTAGAGCGTCGGTCTGCGGACTGAGGGGTCCCAGGTTTGATTCCGGTCAAAGGCATGTACCTGGGTTGTGGGCACAACCCCTGTGGGGGGTGTGCAAGAGGCAGCTGGTCAATGTTTCTCTCTCATCGACGTTTCTAGCTCTCTATCCCTCTCTCCTCCTCTCTGTAAAAAATCAATAAAATATATTATAAGAAAAAGATTATTGAGGCTATTTGGGGTCATTTCTGGTCCCATATAAATTTATTCAATATTCATACTAGATCTGAAATATATGCAATTACTATGTTTTATATCTTTATTGTTGAGAGTATTACAAATGTCTCCCCCTCTTTATCCACTTGCCCCACACCATCTTCCCACAAAGCCCCAGGCCTTCACAACACTATTATCTGTATTCATGGCCAATGCATATATGCATATAAGTCCTCTGGTTAAATTTCTACACTACTCACACCTTCCAAATGAGAGTTGTCAGTCTGTTCCATGACTTTGGTTCTATTTTATTCATCAGGGTATGGTGTTCTTTAGTTTCCACATATAAGTGAGATCATGTGATATATGTCTCTTTCTGACTGGCTTAGTTCACTTAG